TTTGAATTCTTCAGCTAGGGTGGGAGGGTGGCTTGGGGGAGGGATGGGATGCTGGGGCGCTGAGTCTTGCTGGCTGCTTTGACCTTTCTGGTGGGCGGCTTTCAAGATGATGCTTTGGGATGTAGCAAGAAAATACTACAGAATTTATAGTTTATTTTTTTTCCTTTATTTATTTATTTATTTTTAACATCTTTATTGGAGTATAATTGCTTTACAATGGTGTGTTAGTTTCTGCTTTATAACAAAGTGAATCAGCTATACATATACATATATCCCCATATCTCCTCCCTCTTGGGTCTCCCTGCCACCCTCCCTATCCCACCCCTCTAGGTGGTCACAAAGCACCGAGCTGATCTCCTTGTGCTATGCGGCTGCTTCCCACTATAGTTTATTTTTGAAAATTTTATAACTGCCCTAGTATAGAGCACAAGTTTATTAAACCTCTTTCTCTTTGAAGGTATGTACTCTTTTTTTATTTTTAAAAACTTTTTTTAGTTTTAAATATAAAATACACAATATAAAATTTACCATCTTAGCCATTTTTAAGGGTAGAGTTAAGTAGTGTTAAATATATTCACAATGTTGTGCAACCTGTCTCCAGAACTGTATTATCTTGCAAAACTGAAACTCTATACTCATTAAACAATAGCTCCTCATTCCCTCCTTCTTCCAGCGGCAACTACCGTTCTTTCTGTTTTTATGAATTTGATTAGGTAACTCATGTAAGTGGAATCCTATAGTATTTGCCTTTTTGTGTCTGGCTTATTTCACTTAACATAATGTCCTCAGAGTTTGTCCCCGAGGTTGTAGTATGTGTCAGAATTTCCTTCCGTTTTAAGGCTAAATAATAATTCATTTGTGTGTATATGACACCTTTTGTTCATTCATCCATCCATACATCAACAGACATTTGGGTTACTTCTCCCTCTTGGTTATTGTGAGTAATGCTGCTATGTCTCTCAGGGACCCTGCTTTCAGTTCTTTTGGGTATGTATCCAGAAGTGGGATTGCTGGACCATGGCAATTGTGTTTGTTTGTTTATTTATTTTTGGCCGCGCTGTGGCTTGCAGGATCTTAGTTTCCCCAGACCAGAGATTGAACTCCGGCCCACAGCAGTGAAAGCTCAAGGCCTAACCACTGGACTGCCAGGGAATTCCCTGTGTTTCATTTTTTTGAGGAATCTCTATACTGTTTTACACAGTGGCTGCACCATTTTACATTCCCACCAACAGTGCACAAGGGTTCTAATTTCTCCATATCCTCACCAACACTTGTTACTTGTGGTCTTTTTGATAATAGTCATCCTGACAGGTGTGAGGTGATATACCTCGTTGTGGTTTTGATTTGCATTTCCCTGATGATTAGTAATGTTGAGTATCTTTTTCACATATCTATTGGTATATAGTTTATTTTTAACACATTCTTTTTTATGTTTGTGTTTTAAAAAATGTATCCTAGGGACTTCCCTGGTGGTCCAGTGGTTAAGAATCCTCCTTCCAATGCAGGGGACACGGGTTCAATCCCTGGTTGGGGAACTAAGATCCCACATGCCACAGGGCAACTAAGCCCGTGCACCGCCACTACTGAGCCCGCACACCTCATCTAAGATCCCGTGTGCTGCAACTAAGACCCGACACAGCCACAAAAAAACAAAAACAAAAACAGTATTCCATAGCACAGTTTGACATGTTTTAAGTTGAACTACATTAAATTGCTGATATTTGACTGAGGTGTTTCCATCTGTGGTATATAATTTAGAAATTCACATACACATTTTAGGGGTACGTGACCAGCTGAGGTTGGAGACAGTTGAGCTGGATATCAAAGGGCAGGTTGCCTGTAGGGAGAGGTATCTGACCCACCGTTATGATTCATCCACTTGGCCTGTGTCCTGTGCTGGGGGTTCAGAGAAGGCCATACAGTGGCAGCCTTCGAACCTGCTACAGGCACTGCAGGTGGGCCAACTGGCAGGATGCGTGTCTTGTAAGGCTGAGAGGTTTGCCCTGAATGACTCACTTTCCTCCTGACCCAAGGAAATTTGTGGATTGGTCTGGCCAATGACTGACACCAGTTAAACTTGGGAAGCATCCCTACTAGGAAATCCCCATCCCATCCCCCTGGCTGGGGTCAGGGATTCCTCTCCTAGGCTGTTACTCACCAATGCTTGTGTCCAACCTCAGAGCGCACAATACATTTGAAAAAATTCAGTGTGATCCAGGCAGGGTTCCAGGTGCAAGTGGGAGGGGGAACAGTAAGTGAACAAATACAATATGTGGTATCTCAGATGGCATCAATTCTTATAGAAGAAACCCGGAAGGGGATGAGGGTGTAGTTTTAAATAGAGGCCAAGAAAGGCCTTGGTGGGAGACCTGAGGGAAAGGGAGAAAACTGGATAGATAACCTGGAGGAAGAGCTTTCCAGACTGGCACAGCAAATGTCCAGGCTCTGGGGACAGAGAAGAAGCCAGTGTGCAGGAAGGAGGTGAGAAGGGGGTGCTAATTGAAGGTGTGGGACGGGCTGACCTTGTAGCACGACTGTACATCTCCTTGACCTGAAGGCGCAGACCTGATTATTCCACTGCTAACCCTAGGGCTTAGCATGTGATAAATGAGTTAGGAATGACTGATCTCTTCTGAAGAAGTCAACATGTGAACACATGGAAGGCCATCAATTTAGGTCAAAACCTAAAAAAGTCTTAGATTGGATAGTGGTGCAAGATGAGATTGGAAAGGCAGGTGGGACAGATATAAGAGGGTCTTGGGGGCTGTGTGGGAGTTGAGGTTTTTTTTGTTTTGTTCTTTTGGACGGCAGGAAATCACTGTAGGTTCTTGAGCAAAGTGCCATGACAGTGTAAGAGATTCGATTTTGGAGAACTTAATCTGGTAAGATTTGAAGGGTAATTTAGAGCAGGGCATGAAGATGGAGGTAGGGCAGGTGAGGACTGGGGTAGGGTGTGGGTAGAAAAGGAGAAATGCAGAGAAGACTGGAAGATGCAGGTTTGGAGTTGACCACGGAGCAGGTTTAGGACCCGTGGGGAAAAGAATTGCAGGGGTGAGTACGTGTTCTGTCTGAGTCCTGAGGTGGCCAGTGGAAGAGAGGGGGTGAGGCCTGTAGTGGGGATGTTGATGTGGGCCAATCACCAGAGGGTGCATGGGGTTCTACGGGGACTGTAGAAACAGAAACCTCCAATTGGATCTTTAGGGGGTTACCTTTTCAATGCATGTTCATTTAAAGTAACAGGGATTTTGCTTCATCTCTCCCTAAATCAGGGTGACAATCCTTTATGCATTTGAGAAACAAAAAATTCCCAGACAGCCTGAATTCAAGAAAAAGTAGCTCATTCAGAATGGGAACCCCAAATAACCTCTTCTAACTCAACTTCCCACCAGTTGAGCGACAAACAGGAACAATGACTTAACCTTTAAACACGTCAGTATCTGGTTTTCTTTTTGAGGTCTGTTAAATGAAGCTGGATGTCACTTGGTGAAAACACCGAGAACCTGGGGAAATTCCTTTCCAAGCCACAAATCTTGGTGACAACGGGGGGCTGTCAGATTCAGCTTGACAACTCAAAGCTTGTTCCATGTGGATCTGGGGTAGGAGGCAAGATGGGAGCGCTCAACTCACCACAGTATATAATGGACAATTTCCTCATTAAAGCTGATTCTATTTTTGCCCTGGATGTAACTCATTCATTTATTCAATAAATGTTGAGTGCTCCCTATGTGTTAGGCGTTGTTCTAAGGGGTCAAAGTTCTAGCTTGGGAGAGCGTAGCCCCTGGGAAATATGGCCGGGCTGGTGGGGCTCCCTCCAGGCCTGCTTCTCCTTGTCCTCAAACAGTGTCAGTCCAGCTGGAGGCAGAGCACATTGAGGGCAGACCAATGACCCTTTCTGAGGCATCCCTGAGCCAGTAGAGGCCGTAGGGCTTTACTGGGTCGGCAGTGGGGGCTAGCCCCCCTTGCACCCCAACCTTCTCCTGCCCTTCCCAATCAATAACCACAGTGTCCCAAGAGCCAGCTCTCTGCCCCGATAAAAGACCTCACAGAGGGACTTCCCTGGTGGTCCATTGGTTAAGACTCCACGCTCCCAATGCAGGGGTCTCGGGTTCGATCCCTGGTCAGGGAACTAGATCCTGCATGCCACAACTAAGATCCTGCATACAGCAACGAAGATCCCGCATGCCACAACAAAGACCTGGTGCAGCCAAATAAATAAATATTTAAAAAAAAAAAAAAAGACCTCACAGAGTTGTCAGATTGGTGGTGGCCCCAGAAGTTGTGGGACATTCCCTGGGCTCCAGTCCTGGGGATGTTTAGTCCCTGGGCAGAGGGTGAGAAATGAAAGACAGATGTTGCAATCCACTCCATCCACATCAGTTGCGTCATCCGAGGAGTGGGAGGGCTTGAGCGATTAGGTGGAGGGCAGGGGCAATGGTGGGACACCCAGACAAGGACCTGGCAAGCTTCGTCAATTCTGACTCAGGACACCAAGCTCCCCACCTGCTGGCCGCCCGAGAAGATGAAGCAGCCCAGTCCACGTGCCCCGCCTCCCGCCCCTGATTTCACTTGATACCAAACCAGAAACTGAAACAGGGTCAGGATTCCCGGCTTGAAGTCAGAGATGAGTCACTGCTAAGAGCAACTGCAGTAGCTGAGAAGGGGCACCAGAGAGGCAGGCTGGTGAGAGTGGGAGACAGGGTGGTGGGTTCAAGGCATTTCTCCGGGGTAGCAGCCAGGGATGGTGCTGGGAGGGGGATATCCTGGTCCGGAGGCTGCCGGGCAGGACCAGTGACAGGCCCTGGGACTGCCGGCTGAAGAAGCCAGTTGGGGTGGCAAGAGGCCAACTTCCTTCTGTGCCAGGTGGTGTTTGTGACAAAGGGCAGGGCAGAGGGTGTAGGCTGGCTGGGAGGTGGCTGAGGACGCCTGGGGTCTCAGCTGGCCCTCATGTGATGCCCCTCCTGCCACCCCCTCTCCAGCACATCTGAGGGTCCCGGTGGAACATGGCAAGAGGCACAGATGTGGTGGCCATGGACTGCGAGATGGTGGGGCTGGGGCCCTGCAGGGAGAGCGGCTTGGCTCGCTGCAGCCTCGTGGACTACCACGGCACCGTGCTCTACGACAAGTTCATCCGGCCTGAGGGTGAGATCACCGACTACAGAACCCCCGTCAGCGGGATCACGGCTCAGAACATGGAGGAGGCCACCCCATTTGCCGTGGCCAGGATGGAGGTAAGAGAAGAGCCATATGCCATCCAGGGCAACACACATATACCCCCCCACACACACATACACACTTCCCCAGCACCTCCCCTGGTTGCCGGAGCTGTGACCTATGACCCCAGCCATGTCAGATTCCCTGCCACCCATGCGTGGGGAGCACCAGAGCATGAGAAACCCGTTGGTGTGTCCCTCACATCCCTGAGGAGGCTTCCTGCCATCAGACAACCTTAGACTCGTGTCTGGGAGCAGGCTTCGGGGCATCTGGTACATCTAGCTGATCTTACGATGGGGAAGCTGAGTCCTGCCTGCTGTTCCCTGCATACTGATTTGGGGGCTAGATTCCTCCTTCTTTCCTCTATACCAGCTGCCTCTGGGGAGCCCTGTGGGGGAAATGGGGGACGGGTCCTGGGTGGAGGCCCTCACTGGCTGGGCGCTCAGCAGGGCGCCCACCTGGTCCTGAAGGACAGGCCAGCCAGAGTCCACTGAGCTCAGGGAGAGCTTGCTCCCAGACCCACCACAGGCCATCCACTCATAGAGATGGGTGTGACACACCAGTCTCCCATTCTCTTGCCCTTCAACTTGTTGTGACATCTCCAGTCTACTTTCTGTTTCTCTGAATCACTAGAAGAAAACGAAACTCAACCACTCTAGAAGTGACACCAGGGTTGGTCATTCATGGGAAGTGAACTCACCTTGGGGAAGTTCATGAAGAACACAAAGAACTGAGGTTCACCTCAATCTCACATACTGCATATGTGCCAGGCTCCAGGTGCCGGAGATAAGCCCACAACAATAGCTCCTGTTTTCTGAGCACTGGCTACTCACTGGATGCCCTCCTGAGCTCCATCCAGGAGCTCATGCCTCACAAAACAGTCTGCCAAAAGTGTCTTCAGGAGCTGTTAGCTCAGAGCTAAGAGGGCCAGGTTTGAATCCTGGCTTTGTTCCTTACCCGCTAAGTTACCTTGAGCAAGTTCCTCACCCTCTCTGTACCCCATTTCACCATCTGGAAAAGAAAATGGGGGTGATGACAGCAGCAATCTCACAGGATTATTGTGAGGATTGGAAAAGGGCCTGGAGAGAGTGCCTATATAAGTACTAAAAAGCTGTTAGCTGTTAGGATTCTTTCCTTGTTGTTCCCATATTACAGATGAGGAAACTGAGGCTCTCTTGAACTAAACAGTGATTTGGTAGGGCTGCTGAAACAAAGTACCACAAAGTGGGTGGCTTAAACAATAGAAATGTCTTCTCTCACAGTTCTAGAGACTAGTTCTAGAAGTCCCAGATCAAGGTGTCAGCAGGGCTGGTTCCTTCTGAAGGCTGCAAGGGAAAACCTGTTCTGTGTCTCTCTCTTAGCTTCTGACAATTTGCTGGCCATCTTTGATGTTCCTTGGCTTGGAGAAATGTCACCCCAATCTTCGCCTTCATATTCACATGGCATTCTCCCTGTGTGCATGTCTCACAAATTTCCCCTTTTTATAAGGATATCGGTTGTATTTATTAGGGACTCAACCTATTCCATTATGACATCCTATCAATAACGTCTGCAATGACCCTATTTCCAAATAAGTCACATTTTGAGGTGGTTGGGGTTAGGATTTCAACAAATGAATTTGAGGGGGAACGCAATTCAACCCATAACACTAAGCAACTCGCACAAGTTCAGATAACTAGAATGTGGAAGGCTCAAAACCTCTAGAGCTGTGTGTCCAGTAGGGTCCCACCAGTTACAGGTGACAGGTGAGCACCTGAAAAGTGGCTGGTCTGTCTGAACTGAGATGTGCCATAAGTGTAAAATATGCACTGGATTTCAAAGACTTGAATGAAAAAAGAACCATAAAGTACTTCAATAATTTAAAAATATAGATTATATGTAGAATGGTAGTATTTATATATTTTTATATATTAGGTTAAATAAAACATTAAAACTAATTTCACCTATTTCTCCTTACCTTTTAAAATATGGCTGGTCATGATTTAAAATTACATATGTGGCTCACGTTATGTTTCTTTCTATTGGACAGCACTGTTCTAGAGGTACTAAGAGGGTACTAAGGAGCCCTGAGGAGGGGGCAGAGTACATCAGGGTGGTCCTGGAAAGGCTCCATGAGGCTGGTGCTATTTGCCAAAGGGGAGGGAGGAGTCTGTGTATGCAACTCAGTGGGCCATAGAGAGCCACTGAAGATTCTTGAGCAATAGCATGGCAGGAAAACCACTGTCAAGAAAACCTGAACGGGGGTGCTGGGGAGATGGATGGGAGTGAGGAAAGAGATGGCAGCAGAGAGAAGAGTTAGAGACCCCAGGGAGCAGTGCCTTAGTCATCAGTAGCATCCAGAGGATCGGAAAGAAAGAAACATTTGGACAGAGGAGAACAAAGGTGAGTCACCGAGAAGGGGAGGGCAACACGAAGAAAGGTGGTGTGCTTTAGGTGCCGATGGGAGACCCAGGGATACTACATGGAGCTGCCCACACTCAGATCCCCACGGAGCAGTCAGGTGGGCGGCTTGGCCCCATCCCTTCTCCTCCTCCCCGGCCTCCCTCCCCATCCCAGCAGCAGAAAGGGCAGAAGAGAAATGCGATTCCCTGGACGCCCTCCAGCACTGGCCTGGGAGTCAGGACACCTTGGTCCTCATCCAGACTTGGTGCCAAAATGCTTTTGTTTCTCAGTTGGAGATTATGCCGGGCCCTTCCAGTGTGTAACACGGAGTGCCATCCAGGGTAGGCACTTAACAGCCATTCGAGGAGGGAGGCGGGGATCTAAAGACTGGGTAGCTCTTTGGAACCACATCTGCGGTTCACATTTCCTGCTCCATCACTTACTGGTTTGTGTGACCTTTGGCAAGTTACTGAAACTTTCTGAGCCTGAGTTTTCTCATCAGTGAATGGGGAGTACTAATGCCTCCTTCCTGGCCTTGTGTAGGTTGGGTGTAGTGATGTTGTCTGTATCCCTAAGCACAGTGCCTGGCTCATGGCTGAAGGTCATCAACGTGCCTGTGGAGAGAACAAGGCAGAAAGTCAGATTTTACAACCCGTCCCCTCTCCAGCTTCCCTTGAGAACCTCGGTCTTAGATTCTGGCTCTCGTTTTCTGCCTGCTGCACAATGTATGCTCCCTGCCCATGTCTTCTACCCTGCTGCCAGAGACACTTCCCCAGGCCTGGCTCAGATCATAGCCTCCGCTCCCATCCCCACCCCCTGGTTCAAGTACCTCCAAGGCTCCCATTGCCTAAGGTCCGGCAACCCAACGTCCATGGTCCTCTAAATACCACCTACCTACATTTTCTGCCTTCTCTCTCAGCTCAGCCATCACCTACTGTGCTTCAGACCCAACCCTACTCTCTCCCATCCCCCATCCCTTTCCCTAGAAATACTGCCATTCTGGCAGGCCCAGGCCAGAGGAGTCCTGTGTGAGGCCCTGCCGGACCCCCTCACCCTCCCCGCCCACAACTCTACCCCCCTGGGGGTCTCACCCTCCTTGTTATAGCCCACACACTTCCTTTCTTCCTTTGGCCGCGCTGCTTGGCTTTCGGGATCTTAGTTCCCCAACCAGGGATAGAACCCGTGCCCCCTGCAGTGGAAGCACTGAGTCCTAACCACTGGACCTCCAGGGAATTCCCATAGCCCACAAGCTTTAGAGCTTGCCTAGCCACACACACGGGTCTGTCTAGCTCCACAGCTCCTGCCATGTACTTTATCTGCCCCAGGTTGGATATTGTGCTTTGAACATAGAAGGTGCCCCGAGAATGTTTGTGGGATTGGAGTTGAATTGGTTTTCATAATACAAGAGTTCTGGCAGCTGCGTGGAAGAGAATTGCCTCTGCCCTCATGTTGGCCTTTGCTGTCAAGATACAGTAATACATGTACAGCCCAGGGGGCAGGGAGCAAGCACTGTCTTGATTATTTTTAAAAATTATTTATTTATTAATTTTATTATTTTTTTTGGCTGCGTTGGATCTTCATTGTGGCATGAGGGATCTTTAGTTGGGGCATGCGGACTTTTAGCAAACTGTCTTTAGACTTGGCTGGATGTGGGTCCAATCCCAGCTCTGCCACCTGATTGCCCTGTGTCCTCCGGCTTGTTGCTAAACCTCTCTGTGCCCCTCAGTAGGATCCTCTGTAACACAGGGGTGATGAAGCAGCACAGGTGTATCCAGCATCATGTCCGGGCCCTGTTCTAAGCACTTTTCATACCCCCACTACCTTTACGCCCCACCACAACCCCGGGAGGTAGTTAACTAGTAACATCACCCCATTTCCCAGATGAGCAAACTTAGGCACAAGGCTGAGCAAATTGTCCAAGAAAGGGGTGGAGCAGAGACTCAACTTCTGGCCTGAGGGCTTGCTTTGTGATGTTCTGATCCTGTGATCAAAGTGTGTAAATGCGGGCTGTGAATGCTAAGTGCCTGATGTACAAACGGGTAGTGTCGGCACAGCGTGGGAGTGAAGCTGTGGTATGGGGTAACTGCCATCATCTGTTTTCACGAACGAGGACACTGAGACATCTTGACCTCACTCATCACCCACAGTAGTTGAATCTCAAAGACCAGGCTCACAGATCCCAAGCTGTGCTGGGGAGCCCCCAAAGGGCAGAAGCCTATTAGCCATTTATCAGACCCCACAAGTCCAGGTGACACCTCTCAGCTAAGCCACCAGCTCATGAGGCATTGGTTTCTGGAAGTCCTTTTTCAAAGGTGGCTCGCCAGCCTGTCTCTTCCTGCAAGTGGGCCCGGCCAACAGTGAGCCATAGACCAGGCCATAGAAGCCAGGCTGGCTCCAGGGAGCCACTGAGCCCCCCAGTCCACCCAGGGCCCAGGCAGCCACGAGGCACTAGGATTTTGAGGGGGCTTCCCTCACCTCTTTTCTGTTTTTTATTTTTTGTAATGGGATGACATTGCTTTTATAATGCAAGGTAACTGCCTTGTTATCTTCTGATGCCTGTAAGTCTCACTGTCATCCAGAACGGTGGTTCTCAGTGCACTGTGATTTTGCCCACAAGGGCAAATCTGGAGGCGAT